ACGCTCTCTCTCTCTCATCTTTCTCTCTATCATTTCCTCTCTCTCTCGACTTATCTCTCCTTTTAATTAATTGCAACAACAAAAATGTTTTAATGCAGGCCAATAGAAGAAGTGCCTTTATCCCTTACCCAGATTACATACAAATCCCGTACGTTACAAGCCTGTACGAGATAGGAAGCATGCCAGTTTGTCACAGCCTCGACTGTGCCCTGCATGATGGAAAAATTCACTGACTCTCTCAAAAAGAGTAAATGGATGATTGATTGTAAGAATTGGATTTCATTTTTCAATTGTTTTTAACGAAAGAGCATTCTTTGTTGAAATTTGACAGAGTAATTTGCTTTGATTTGTGTTAAAAAGGAAGAAATATTGAACAACACAAGCTGAGTTGACTTTTTAGAGGGACCATCTCTACACCACCAATTTGAAGGTGGAGAATAAAAAACTGAAGTTACAACTACAACGTTAAAGTGCTGTAATTACGACTGCCATCAATACTCAAATACTTAAATGAAATTGTGACAAACTGGGCCTTTGGCAAACTGGGCAGCCCCTACAAGATAAATACAGAGATTGGTGTTTTATATTGGTACTCGTCTATAACCGAGGTAAAAATCAAAACGACCAAAAATGATGGGTAGAACTTTGTAATTCGGAGGTAACGAAGTGTAGTCCGTGTTGCAGTCGAAACATTGTCTAAAACATCACTTAAGAATCTTCATGCGAGGTATCTTGAAGTCGTAACGATGGGCATGGTCAAAAGCATTGAGGAGGTTCCATGCCTCGGCCTTGTCCTCTGTCATGGTGCCAAAGTAACGACAGGAGGCGCCGTGCTGTGTCGTGCAGTTCCTCACTTTCTGGTTCCACACACTCACGTTGAAGCCGATGTTGTGGTACGTGACGTCACCCACAACTTTGGGCAGCACGCCAAACATAAAGAGGTCGTCGACGTTGTAAAATGGCGTCCTTCTCGCGGCAGACATAAGTAACGGAATCATGTCAGGGCTGAGAAAAACAATAAATCCACTGCAGTAATTGTAAGGATAGATCGTCAGGTTGAAAAATTCTCTCATGTCAACTTTCGTTCTCCCGATTCGGGGGATTGGTTGAGTTCCCAGCTTATTTAAGTGACAAAATATGGATCGTTTGAATTTGGCGAAGTAGCTCACCGACAATGGTAAAATACGTCTCAAATCAAGAATAACGTCATCATCTATTTTCAAAACCACAGATGGATTCTGACAATGTTCATTTAACCAACGTAACCACATCACAGCTTTAAGAGACAGATTTCTGAAATCTTCATTAAAATCCATCTGCACGAAATCTCCATAGTGCCGGTTTTCATTCCTTAAAGTAACTTCTTTCACAGCGTTTATTTTGGTCTTGTTATGTGTGCCGATCATAAACACTAGCTGTACCGTGTAAGGAGAGTCCTTCAGCTGTCTCATGAACGTGTGGCGTAGCAGCCTTCTCCGCTCGAAGTTGTAGAGGCTGGTGTGAACGACGACAACCAGATCCAGATCTTCATGACGCCTGCAGAGGTGTGTCGGGTTCTTCAGGTACGTCCCGTTGAGAACAACTGACGGGTCGCGGGGCAAGATCGTGTGTCTTAACACTTGGCTGAAGTATTTCTTCATGATGTCAGTCCCGTTTGGCGAATTTTGTGTACTTTCTCCCTTTTCGAAACTCTGCTTCTCATCCTTGCTTTTGTAATGGAGACTACCTTTTACTGGATATTGGAGACTATCTTTTGCTAAGAATTGAAGACCACTTTTTCTTGGGTATTGGAGACTACCTTTTGTTACAGAGACTGAGCCCGTGCCTTCTACACGTTTGTTTGGGAGTGGGACGTCTTCGATTTGAAGAGGGGCTGGAGGGATGGCGTCCGGCTCTGTACGTTGTGCCCGGTGTGCGGGTGTGTGGGTGAAGAAGCAGAGGTAAAACCAGAGGAAGACCTGGGCGCTGATCAGACATTTGTAGCAGCTGCCGCCTACGTCACGAGCAAGTCTCCTGGGGAGATGGACAAAGTGTGATGGTGGTGGTGGTGGTGGTGGTGGGGATGAGGATGATGATGATGATGATGAGGA